CCGGCGCTTGCCCCCAAGGTCCCCATCGCCCGCCCCGGGGCTGCCCCGTCGCTGGCGCCACCAGCGGTGACCCAGATCATCACCCTGAAGGAGTGGGTGCTCCCGCCACGGCCAAAACCGGGGCGCAAGCCCCTGGTGGACACCCCGGCGCTGAAGCGGAAGGCGCAGAACCGGGCCGCCCAGCGGGCGTTTAGAGAGCGCCGAGCCACCAGGGTCCAGGAACTCGAACAGAAGTTGTTGGAGGTGGAAAAGGAAAAGGAGATGAAGGAGATGAGCTTGATCAGCTCCCTCAACAAGCTCAAGGGCGAGAACCAGCTGTTGGTGAAGCTGTTGGAGCTGATGAAACGTGATATTGCCATGCTCAAGCTGTTGGCGTCGAGAAATAACTCCCCCGCCGTGCAAGCGCTGCTGCCCCACTACCCGACGCTGAACGCTCCTTCGCCGTTTACGATGGACTCGCAACAGATCCTGCCGGCGCCGCTGGCAGACCTGCCCCGCACCGCTGCCGTCGTCTACTCGAAGCTGCTGCCGCAAACCTACCCGCCCCCGGCTCCCGCTCGGGCTTCAGTGGCAGCGGCGGAGCCCGTCGACTGTGGCGTGTGCATCAAGGATGAGTGTCTCTGCGAGAATATCGGCCTCAAAGAGCCCGCGGCGTCTTCGGCCCCGTCGCAGGGACCACCCCCGTACTCGGCGGTTGCCGCTTCTCCGGTGCTGGCACTGGGGTCGTCAACTTCGACTCAACAGCACCAGCACCAGCCCCAGCACCAGCCGCTTCTCTTGCTTGAGCAGACGCTCCGGTCGCAGCTCCAGGACTATAAGCCCGAGCCAGCAGTGCTGTTGAAGAAGCGGAAGCGCGACCCCCAGGAGGCGATGGAGATCGACTTCACCGCCCACTTCGCCAAGCGGCCGATGCCCGACTTGCTGAAGCTTGAGAAGAAGCAGCCGCCGCAAAAGAAACAGCTCGCGGTGCCGTTCAACAAGGACCTGCCGGTGGACCTGTGTGGGTTCTGCCTGGACGATACCCCCTGTGTGTGTCGTGAAGCCGCCGAGGAAGCGGCTAAGCTTGGTCTCGATGCCAACTCTCTCCCCCCGCTTAATAACCTGGGCCCTCCCGCCAATGGCGACGCGCACAAGGCGTCGCTCCCCGTGCTCCACCCGGGCCCGTCGCTCGAGATCTCCAATTTCCTGAATTTGACCCCCGGCGCCGTCCCGTTAGTGGTGAACCCAACCACCCGAGATCCGGTGTCTATTCAGGCGCCAGCGGAAAAGGAAAAGAAGGAAGGGTGTACCGGTAACCCCGGCACCTGTAGCCAGTGCCAGATGGACCCGTTGCTGACGTTATTTTGCAGTACGGTTGCCTCGAAGGCCAAAGACGCGGGGGCTAAGCCACCGCCGCCGTTACTCCCATCGACACCCACCAACCGTATCTCGGGAGGTGACGGTCCCTCGACCCCGGGTCCGTTCACTCCCGGTGGTTCGGTGGCTCCGGGACAGCAGGGGCTCTATATCCCTTGTGCCGACGCCTATAAAACATTGCTGCGGCATAAACGGTTTAGCCAGGTCGATTTCTCAACCTTGGTGGGCAAATTGACCACGCGAGGCATGCAAGTCGAAGTCCAGTCGGTGGCCAACGTCTTGCGCGAGTTGGACCGCAATATTTATAACTAATGACTGATTTTTGCATGGCTCGGAAATCATGGCCCTAGGTTTTCTATATGAATATATTCTACAATAAACTACTAAAGTGTGTGTGGTTTTGTAGATATCGTCGAATGCTCTGATGGTTTGGCGTCGTTTAAATAAGCCAGTAGTCTTTCAAACCAGATATCTGATAAAATGACTCGTCGAATTATTCGAAAAGCCACTCAGTTTAAGTTAAAATTGAAGTTTCGGGAGAACACTCAATGTGATTTCAAAACCTTCAAGTAATAAATTATATAGTGGCAGCTGTAGAAGTCTGCATTGCAGAAAAGAAATAAATTATAAGATGGCTGTACACGCCATTGATACTCGAGTGATAACTTAGATCAAACAATCATAATAATCTAATCCTGTTGTATTCACTAAAACGAATGAAGCTTTGCTTTCATTTTCAGGTAGTCGGCCCTTTTCACAATTCTGCAATTTCGAGGTAAACTCCGCAAAATTGTTTCTAGCCACGTATATTCCGATAAATTCCAGGTAATTAAGGACATTACCTTGACAGTGTGTTATCTCATTTGTTCTAGAAGAATTTGAGACTTCTATCTCGCTATTTGAGTTTACTATTCGCAGCTGATCACCAACTTGGGCTCACATTTGATCTGACATCACATCTGTGCAGGTTAATTTATAAAGTCAAAGAAACTTTCGGATCATTCGCTGCTCGATCCAAACGAATGACTTGAAAATTCGTAATGTCTGGCCTAAATATTAGTGCAAGAGGTACATCATGGTGAAGTTTCATTGGAATTGATCATGACAAACTTGAGGTATGCTTTATAGCGAAGTTGATACTCTTTGGCTACGTATTCTTCCATACGTCGAATATTAGAAAGGTAGGACCCGCTAATTTGCTTTTCGAGTAAATTGCACAAAGTTGAGGTTTCAAATCAACACCAAGGAGAACCGGCCATTGTCTAGTTGATCGATAATGAGAGATAGTAATGAACAAAATCGCCATGCTACATTGAGTAAAAGCTTTTAGCCAGTAGGCAAGTACGTTTTAGTTTGTGTATTCTCATTAAAACTTTCGATACTTGACTTCAAATTTCCAAATCTGGAGTTTTCGTGATCAGCTGCAAATGTTGACAGGTAGATCAAAACTTGTGTGGGATCGGATAGTCTCTGACATACCTTTGGCAGATATATTTTTCTGTGGGTATGGTTTCCATTCGTTGTCAAATCGTTCCGCAACCCCCAGCCAAAACAACTGTTTGACCCCTTCATTGAACTTCTCCTCGCAACTGAAGTCCAAATCCATAAGCTCGTCACCAAATTCCCAGAGCTCTTCATCATATAACTCTCGACGATAGACTTCAGGTGGGCTTAACAGGCAAATCATGGTGTTCTCGACTGTGGTCCTAGGAAGCAGTGCTAGAACCTCGAAGATTTTAAACCAACTTTGCACCACGTTGGGTGAAAGATCAAATTTGCCCAGACAATCGACCATGTCCAGTCCTTGCAACCAGTCTCTCCACATATCAGTGATTACATTCTCCTGAAAAATATAATCTTTCGGTTCCCAGACATGGTGAGAGACGACCCAGAATGTTTTAAAGTGTTCTTCCACCGTGTCCTTCGAGAGGGGGTACCGGTAAGGATACTTGGCCCCAAACACAGCATTGATATCATAGAGAATGTTACCTACTGGTTGAAGCCCATATCTTTTTGAACGCTTGCAATGATGAACATATTGCTTTGACAAAAAGCTGTACATCATCTCGTAATTCTTTGCTTCCCAAGTTTTGAACCCGTCCTCCGCTGGGAACGTCCTCCGCTGAGAAAAGCGTTTCATATTCATCAAATTTTGAGTCATATTTCTTCACAGATTGAAGAACTTGGTCCATCTTGACGTCAACTGCTTTTTCCATATCCTTAACCAATTGGGGGTTCCCTTTTTCCACAGCTGTACAAAAATCCCACACGGCTTCGTCTATTCGGGAAAATACGTAATCCAGCAGATGGTACACTGTCCGCTTCCATGTCAAACTCCCGAGGCCAAGAGAAGGGGCACAGACGCGATTTATACACGGAAGAATAAGACGACTGGCTGCTTTGAGTATATTGTATAATTTTTGTTGTGGCACAGTGTTGCCAGAGCCAAATCACTATTCGGTCTATAACCACGCACTGTGGCGTTTACCCCTGGACTGCATATACATGTTGACAGCCACACATGTATTATCCTGGGAAAATCAATTAAGAATAATCTATCTTTATCTACCTTTATACTTTTATTACTACATTTGTTACCTTTAAGCCTTTGCTTAACTCTCCTCGGATTATTGTACCTATACTACAGAATGCCCCCCAAACAATCTGACCGCAAGTCGGAGAACCAATACGAAAACCTTTCCGGTTCTACAGAGAATCCCGGTGGATCCGATTCTCAACATTTTGTCATTTTCAAGTTCTGTGTTTATTTGTTGAAGATCACGGTGGTTGTCTCAAGTGGCATGCATCAGCACACCAAACGCAGTAGTGAATGAACCACAGCAGGTTAAATTATCGATACAGCACAGCCATTGCTACACTATCGAGCCTTGTATCAACACAGTTTATATCAACACAGTTTACTGCGGCTACTGTCTCAGTTTCGAAATGTACCTGCGACAACTTTTTGGCGTTCAGTCAGTTATCAACGAGTGACTCGTGAAAGTTCAAGCATTAGACACTGTTGATATTATCGCTACGCGTTATTTTGTTTTGAGTGATGTGGGTTCATTTGGGAAGCTCGAGAACTCTCGAGATTTCAATCTTGTCAAAAAAAGAAGTCAAATATAGACTTAAGACGCCATTTTATAAACATGAAAACCATCGAATAGACTTCCCACTGTGATTGATTGCCTTTTCTTGTTCTCACACTCTTTAAGCGATTTCTTATTACTCCTCAGTTTACAACCTGAAGTGACGACTCTATTGGATTTATATCGTCCAATTCTTAGTTTACTTTATATTACTGTGAAATTTGTATATGAGAGAAAAGAAAATGGCAAAGCCCCGCAATTACCATTTAAAATGCAAGCTACTTGTTTTGGCCAATACCCTAGGGAAATCTCTTGATGATATCGTTCAAAAGAATCTTATAGTCCGGCTTTTCGTTGGGGTCCATGGCGTTGATCATGCTGGGCCCAACAGCTCTATCGTCGACGTTTTTACCCGTGAGGAGGAACTGGTCAATCAACTCCATGTTGTCCAACTCGTTACCGAGAACGTTGGTGTTGGTGTCCAACGCCCTGTTGAGGTCTGTCTCGTCGAGTACTTTGACACTCCAGTCAATATTACCATGCTTGGAAATCATGTAAGACATAGTGATGTGCAGATCGCTAGCTGTCTTGTTGACAAACAATCTCGCCTTAAACGTCTCATCATCCCTAGGATTATACTTAAGCAGGTAATAAATCGAACAAGTGTTGTACACAAATTGCAACACTCTCTTCGCGGCAGCGATGAGCCAATCGTTGACGTAAGGTTCGAGATGGACAAGCTTGCTGATGGGTTCGGCGATGTCGGGTCTCCATTTGAAGATGGCCATTAAATCTTTCATGAGCAGTTGATAGATTTCCATCTTTTTAGCCTTTTCCTTTTTGGTGAGCACTTGTTTTGACCCAGTCGACTTCCATTTCAAATCGAATGACGGCTCGATGGGAGACCTCACCGAGTGATCAGTGTCAATATCCCACTTGTCCGCCGCTAACGTCAACATATTATACAAACTGATGTCGACAGACTTGTCTTCGATACGGAAATCGATATCCATGAACAGCAGAGGAAGGCCCAAGTTTTTCACCCTAAACTTCGATTCGATGTGAGACACGATCCATTTGACGTGCTTGTCAGTTTTGCCGAAGACGAGAATGTCATCGAATCCGATCATCACGATAAGCTTCATCTGATTGTTAGGGGCGTAGACCCAAACCCCCTTGGCGGCGTCACACGCCTTGAAGTTGTACTTGTCGACGAAGAAATTCGTGAAATGCTCGTACCACATGCGCTCAAAGTGCTTAGTGCCGGGGATGGGACGATTAAGCCGGGCGACGCCAACTTGCAGCTCGTCGCCAGCTACTTCCGGCGGCGAGAACGAAAGAGGCCGGTCGGGGTCGTAAAGTTCTTCACTTTTGAGGTCCACGTGAAGCTGGCACGCTTTGTAGTCGTGGGCCATGGCGTGGGCAAGCACTAACCGGATCACTTTCGGCGCCGGATTGTACTTGCGTGACTTCAGAACCGGGTCTGCCGAAACAATATTGGCAATGCGGACATCTTCCACCTCACCATCAGGTAAGGTTTTGCGTTTGATACGAAAATTCCACTTCAACGGGATAATCTTGAGTTTTCTGAACATGTCAAGGACACCCTCCAACTCATAGATCTCATCAAAAGACGGGGCTTCTATACCCTGATCTTCATAACGTTGGTAGATACTGTACCAATAAGCCGACAATAGCTCAGCAGCACGCTTGTGGTCGTCAGTGATAATTTCCTTTTCCTTGGGAATTTCATCGGGAGGATCGTCGTCCTCCTCCTCAGACGATGCCGAAGCTTGAGCTTCACCGTTTCCATTTTTGGCCGCGTTTACAGCAACCGCCTTTGTCGACAGTTCAGGTACTTTTTCAGGTGCAGATTTGGCAGACAGCCCCACCAATGTCAGCGGGTCCTTGAGCGTAGGCGGTCTGCTGCGGCGGACGGTGAGAGTGTGAGGAAGGACCAACGATGGTTGCATCTGTTCGCTCACTTGTCTGACAGTTTTGGGAGCATTAGGACCAGCGACAGGTTTGGGAGCAGCAGCAGGTTTGGGAGCGGCAGCAGGTTTGGGAGCAGTAGCAGGTTTGGGAGCGGCAGCAGGTTTGGGAGCGGCAGCAGGTTTGGGAGCGGGTTTAGGAGCATCAGCTTTGGGAGCTCGTTGAGAAGGGGTCGGCTCGGGCGCCGGCTTGGGGGCAGTTTGAGGTTGTGATGCCCGCTTGGCCTTGGTCTTCTTCTTTCGACGACCATTGCCCTCTAGACTCAAAGCGTCGAGCTTCTGGATCTCGTCGAGAAACGACATCGCCAGAGGTGTGAAGGGGGGACGATCGCAGTCTTCCAAGAGTGATTTTGCATTATGTGCAGGATAAAATGGGCCGTACCCCTGATAAACAGAAACTGGCGAATACGTCAAAATCACAAAAGACCAAAAATTGTCATAGTTGAAAGTTTCAGTTTTTAAATTTGTTCACTAGTCAATGATACAATACGATAAGAAAACTATCATAACTGGAGTCTTTTCACAATAATCTAACGAGGTTGCAAGCATCGCTGCTAACATAGTCGTGTGATGATGGGTAAAGCCACGCCGCACTCAAAATGACCTGTAGAAGTAAATTATAGATGAGTTGGTGAGTTTGTCGATTTTAAGATGTTGTTGGAGCCTTTATTGGGCCTATTAATCGTTAACTTTTGCCAATTTTAGCTTACACCTAGTTTGTTATCACTAAGATCACGTGATGGATACCTCACAAAGTTGGTCGCACTCAAATTTGGTAACCAAAGAGGTGGACTTCACTCCGACCATAGCGGGTTCCACTCGCTCGAAAAGAACTTCCGCTTATTCGACTTTAAAAGAGTTGAATGAAACTGATCTAAACTTAATTCGAAGTGAACGAAAATCACATAATACTGGTGGAAGTGCTTTCTACAGTGTGTGTGGTTTTTGACGGTGCGGCTGCGAAATAGCCACCCGCACGGAGCTCACACACTTAGTGCATGGCGCTGGTGGTGGCACTTGCCCGGACCCAGCAGTTCTGGTGGTTTATTGTGCACGTGCTCTCGGTACTCTTCTACTTCGCCTACCTATTGCTGCTTATTTTCGGGCTGGCGGCACTGGCCCTCGCCTACTATCGGTACTGCCTCGTAATGGTGATCACCAGGGACTCCATTGTTCTCGTCCAGCAAAAGCTGAAACGAGGAGTCAGACAACTTGTTACCAATACCAATTTCCAGAACCTTACTTTAGCCGCAATATTCTACTTTGCGTCGCTCGCTATTGGCCCCGTTTACGATGCTCTTTTTATACATTTGATTCCCCTGGTATTCCACATCATCAGTTATTTCCAACGTCACCTTATTGATTTCATTGACACCTTGCCTCAACAGCAACAGCTTGAGTCTCGGGTGGCGGCGTGGCTTGAAGAGAATCAACCTAAACGTCAAAACATGGCGGCGACGGCTCTGCTCTCCTTAGTGTTGATGCTGTTATATCCAATTGTGGTGAAGCCGACCGCGTTTGCGAATTTGGTTGCAGGTCGTTGGCAAGTGGCGTTAACCTATTTAATATGTTTTGCGGCTCTGATGATCTTTGCTAAATTAAGTTGGAACGAGAACCCGTGTACGAAACAAGAGGTGTCGAAGTTTGACGCTGAATTCGGTCTGATTTTACAAAGATTCCCTCCTTTGGCTTACTTATACCATAAAGTTAGGAATATCGTGGTGAAGGTATTGGCTCCAATCACGATAAATGTCCCTCAGCAGTCACCGGGAGAACAAGCCCAAGACTCGTTGAAGGACGCCTCCCCCCGCGATACCACCCTGGACACCTCCCATTAATTATATAGAAATTCAGCTCTTTAGCAGTAGACAAAACTTTGAAGAGAACATCAAAAACCACATATTTCTCCTTAAAGCAGACGTATGCTTACTGCTTTGATTTGGTTTATTCGCTGGTGTAATTCCAATGACGCTGATGGCCTTTACTGGTTCACTGGTGAGTGACGTCACTAGCGCTAAATATACATACCGGTGTTTGTGTTCAAATTTGGCAGTGCCCTGACGCGTAGCGATCGGGACTACAATCCGAAAACTTACCAGCTTATGGTCCACAAATCACGTTAACCAGGTCTAGACAAAGCCGACGTTACTCCAAACCACTGCCAGCCACACAAAATTCTATTTTCTCTCCCCATTTTATTTGCTGCTGGACCAATTGACCTTATCTCTCCCGGGCTCTTGAGGCGATGGCGCGATCGGCCCACCCGCCTGGTGGAGAAGACCCCGCACTCATATGTACCTCGGCTGGCCTTGTTTCGCGACCGTCTCCGGGCAATAACCGCGGCTTAAACAAAAATAGACTTTATTGAGGTTCTCAGTCTGGACACGGAAAACCAATGTTTTTATTATAGTGATCATTTCTGGCTTTCTCTTGTTAGTCTGGGCCCCAAAAACTGAGGACACTGCCTCGGCGATCCGTGTTTTTGTGGCATATGCATGACCGACTTCAGCCGCGATGGCGCTAGTCCTCGGTCCAACTTGATTATGGTTATCGTGTCCCGCTACATACCAGCTGCACGGATATCATGAGTCCAGAGGTCGCCCAGTACCTCGTAGGGGGAGTGCTCAAACCCTCGGTAAGGGGCTTCATCTACGGCTACGTGTACGTGGTGCTTCCTCGCCTTCTCAAAGTGATAGGCAAAGCCCGCCGTGAAAAACAGCTGAAATCACAGCTATGGCAAAGGATCAAGCGGGTATTGGTCAGAGCGTGCCACCCCGCCAAGTTCCCGATGTTTGTCGCTCGCTTTGTCGCCGGGATCAGGCTCCTCCAGCCGCTTATCGCTTCGGTGTACTCATCGTCGCCATTCACGTCCACCTTCGGGGCAGCGCTTATCCTGGGGCTCGTCAACTTTGGCAGCTACCAGCGCCACGTGCTGAGGTTCCTTTCGCTTGACTTCACGTTGATTGTGGCTACAAGAGCGTTCGACACCGCGTTCCTGCAAATGTGCTACCTGGTGGTGCCTGCCGCCGTCGGCGACGGGCTTCTCTTTGTGCTTGCGTGTCTGTTCATCATGTACGCGTGGTTCTTTGAGCCCCAGACGTTACCGCCCAGCTACCGCAACTGGATCACCGCCGCTGCCAATATGGACTCCGAGATCGTACGTATTTTGAAGGCGTTCCGCGACCGCAAGGCTGAATACGGCACTCCCGAGCCGACCCATCTCCAGATGATGTACGACTATTGCACTCGCTACGGGCAGGCCCCCGAGCGGGGCGATTTCGTCGTCACCCAGCCCATCGAGTGTGAGACGGTGCACGCGTTCAAATGCAAGAGCTGCGAGCTCCACGCCCTCTGGCGGTTCCAGCGGGGGTTTCTCTTTGCCTTGAAAGTGTACGGCCCGTTAAATGCGGTGATGTGGTTGATCCGCCGGGGCCTGGTGCTCAGAGCCGTGGTGTCGACTGCCCGGTCGCTGGCGTTTTTAGGGGCGTTTATTGGCCTTTACTGGTACGCGGTGTGTCTTACCCGAACCCGTTTAGCCCCTCAGTTATTCCCCAACATCGATAGACGCAAATGGGACGTCACCTATGCCCCCACCGCGGGAGCGATGCTCTGTGGCTTCTCTGGTTTCATTGAGACGGCGGCGCGACGCAAGGAGTTGGCGTTGTTTGTCACCCCGAGAGCGTTGGGGACGTTGGTGGCCACCGACTGTAAGTGCCGCAAGCACTTGATGATGGAGAACGTGTGTTTCAGCGTGCTGATGGCGGTGTTGGCCGCCTACCTGGGGGTGTACCCGAAACGGGTGCGGGGTCTTTTTGGTAAAGGCTTAGCACGAGTGTTGAACTAGTTGACAGGCGTACCACTGAAAGAACTCTGACTAGACTCTGAATGATGATTTATGACCCGGAAATGGATTGGAGATAACATTGACGTCGTAATGGCTCGCGGCTTACCTCCTACGTCCACTCGCTAAAGAATATCTAGAACAATCCAGATATACCGATGAAACAAACTAATCATTTAAACAAATCGGTGAGTAACAACTTGGAGACCTACACTTTAATATACTTAGAGATAGATATTATATGTGACTTAATTACATAGAGAAAAGACGTTCAGATTCCATTTTATTGCATTAGACCGGCTAGAGCATTATCGAGGTTGTCAAGTCATTATCTCCCAATTTCATGGAGAACGTAACTGATTCGAACAGAATGTTCAACACTCTGACATTAGAGTTTTTGAAAGCCTTTTCTGCCATTTGACGCAAATCTTCGCAGTCCTTTCTGATTAGAGCGTATGAGTCCTGCTCATACTCAAGTAACACTTGCTTAAGTTGTGGGTGGTTATGAAGCGAAATCGCCCGAGTTTTGCAGATCAGTTTGTAGCGATGGATAAGTTCGTCTTTGTGGCGTCGCAATGTATTTGCACAGTCTCTTCGATCCGTGCCTTGTTCACCTAATGTCATCTTCGCAATGGCAAGGGTTTCCACGTAGACACCATAAGTGGTCACCATCAGGTTAGTAATCAGGTCAATGATTTTCACTTTAAGTGTGGGGTCACTTCGAAGCACATCGTACACTTTAGGGAAGACGTCAGTGTCCAATTCATCCTGTTGGGTTTCGATTACTTCTTGAAACTTATCTACATCCATAAGGAATCTGGTAACGCATCGTCGGTCATAATTTATTGGGAGTGATTGCAAAAAGTTGTGGGTCGAAGGTGCATCGAGGCGATTGGGACGGATGTCTCTCGGACGAGTCTCTTTGGGACGGATTTCTTTGGGACGAGTCTCTTTGGGGTGTATTTCTTTGGGACGAGTCTCTTTGGGGTGGATTTCTTTGGGACTGATGTCTTTGGGATGGATGTCTTGGGTGGCTGTGGAGGTTGTGGAGGGTGTGGAGTTTGTGGAGGGTGTGGAGTTTGTGGGGGTTTTGGTGGGTGTGGAGGGTGTGGAGGTCAACCTGAATGGCCTCGGTGTAAACGACATGTAGTAGACACTTGGCGTTGTAGCGCTCCTTTCACAATCAATACTTAGACTGTTTGACGTATCGGCTTAGTAGGTACGGGGAGATTGTCGATGTCTGTTATACACTCAATTTCAAGTTCCTGAGATCATGGTTGATCTTGAAGCGCAGTCGGTGGCGAGTGAACGCGAACACTGTTTCGCAAGAACAATACTGAACAAGTCGTGCAACTCTCAGAGGAATTGTAAACTAATATATGTTTGAGAGAATGCGTCATCAGGTACAGCTTTCCTATTGACACTGTCTTTACAAGCACCTAAAATTGTCCCATCAGTCAGACACCACGCCTTCAATTGTATTCGAGGAAACTCGTACAGTATGAGACCATATTCTTACCTTACCTCCGACCTAGTCAAGCAAATGAGTTTTACATGGTTTCAGCTGCTAATTCTACCGTTCCCAACTCATCTAATCGCTCTAAGCTTACGACCTACACCCAATCTGATGACTGGTTCTAATGGTAGTCCAGCCTCAAATTCTTACACTTACCAAAGTTTACAGTCATATGACTACCACCGCAACCAAAAAGTCGAGGCAATACAGCACCCTAATACCAACAATCATACGACAATACCCATCATCAGAACACGTACCTCAATTAGTTTAATCCCACACTCGGCTTCACGTCGCTGTGGCGGGTCGCGGTAACTCATCGGTGCGCGCGCCGCGGGTGGGACCCTCTCCATGGAAGAAGAGGTGGAGGTGGAGGTGCCTCTCACGTTCAAGCGACATAGCGTGGTGTACCTGGCGATCGATGTCCCCGGCGACTTGCCCCGCTTCGCCTACCAGGTGGCGGTGTCGCTCGCCGACCCCTTCACCCAGCCCGAGGAAAACGACACCGCCGTCCTCAGTGTCGACCTCGCCGCCGACGCCGTCATCGGCCTCTGCTACTTGAAATTGATGCCGCTGTATCCTCCAGAGAGCCTGGCCCGCCACGACATCGACCTCGTCAAGTTTGACCTCGCCCACGCCCTCTACACCGTGATCGACGCCATCCACCGCCACGGGCTCAACGTCGACTCCGAGCTCAATTTGCGGTATGTCGACAACGGCGAGGACCGCTGGGACCACAATCTCCACCGGTGGGCGCCGATATTGGCGTTTGAGCCCGAGATCAGCTGGCTCTACCTGGCGTGCTGCATTTTGTTGTGGGCGCTCGCGAAGCTCTTTGGCGACAACTTGGTGCTTAATCCGTACTTCCACTGGCTCATCAAGTTGTGGAAGTGCCACACCAACGTCATCTTGCTTGGCCTCGAGATCGACCGCCGGTTGGAGTTCACCCAGTCGCTGGAGCCGACGCCCGAGCTGGTGAAGACGACGCTCAAGGGGTCGCTGGCGATCAGGTACGTGCTTGCCGCCATCATCAACCGCAACCCGCTGTCGCTATCCGACGGATCGGAGGAGGAGAAGGACTTAAAGCACCAGAGTCTCGTGGCGTTTATGCAACCATTAGGCAGGGAAAAGATCAACGGCGGCGCCATTCTGATCGACATGCGGCTCGTGGTGGTGGCGCTCTTGGTGCTCAACATCAACATCCCCTACGTGGTGGGCCCTGGCGGTCCTCTGTGGCAAGACCCCGTCGACGCTCAGGAGCAGGCCCGCCGCGACAACCAGAGCAAGCCCGTGCTCGAGTTGGGCGACCTCTTGCTCGACTTGGAGTACGACGACCGCTTCGACGAGGACATCCGCTACATCTTCGAGTACGAGTACGACGACGACACCAACGACGGCGACGAGTGGCACGACCACGACCCCGAGGGCCAGCTCCAGAAATACCTCGAGACCCGCGACGCCATCGAGCCCATCTACCTGTCGATCACCAACGGCGACAGCTTGGCCGAGTACCAGAGCAAGGAGCTTGCGGCGAAGCCGATAGGGGTCGATCCCATCGAGTTTGATCTGTATGGCCACGACTGGCGCGACACGTTGCGGGGCGACAACCACAAGTTCGACCCGCAGTTTGTCGACAAGTACCACCAGTACCGCCAGCTTACGGACAAGGAGGAGCTGTTTGACTTCTTCACCCTGTGGGAGGAGCTCCGGGTGACGCTTGAGTTCCTCGCCACCAACTCGATCGACGGCCACGAGCAAGCAGAACAGAAGGTGGGGCAGGTGCTTTTGAACACCATTTCCAAAGTGAACCTCGACGCCCAGCACGGTGAAGACAGCGACATCACCGTGGAGAAAGTGTACAACTTGCTCACGCTGACGGCGCTGAACGAGCTGATCGCCGAGCTGGAGCTGTTGATCGTCCCCATCTTCGAGGTGAGCCAGTTCGAGTTGTTTGTCCACAACAACCCCAAGCTCGCGTGGTGCTTGATGGACGAGTTGCTCTGCTGTCCCGGCTACCGCCGCGTGTTCATCCTGTTTATGACCCACAACATGAACTTGTCGAGCTTCATTATCGACTACGTGTTCGAGTTGCTTACGGGCAGCCGGGGCGCCTCGCCCGCGGCCAGGACCAAGAACCTGCCCTACACCTTCTCCCGCCAGGGGCCCTTGGTGTTGCTGGAAGTGGAGACGCTGATGCTTCTCCACGAGTTCTTGAATAACCTGAGTCTCTATCTCAGTGCCCGCGACGGCCTTGACATCGACGACGGCTACGAAGTGGTGCTTGCCGAGCTGGTGGCGAAGAAGTACATGACGCTTCTCTGCTTGATGATCAACCAGCTTGTGGCCAAAGGGATCATTGATTTGAGCCGTCACCATACCGCTACCGGTGACCAGGATGGCCACGAGCTCAACGATTATTCCAACGTCCTCCAGGTGCTCTTGGTGAATTGGATCGGCAAGCTCCCTCAGGCTCGCCAGCTTTTCTTCAAAGTGAAAGGCACCGCCAGCGAGCCCACAGCAGGAGAAGAGGAGAAGCCGGCGACGCTCAAGAAAGTGAAGACGATCCACGAGCTTTTGCTGCTTTACCAGAGCCGTCTGCGCGACGAGATCACCGACGACCTCGAGACCAACCGCAACCACAAAGCGATCGTGATCCGCTACACCAACAAGTTCTGCGACCATCTCGAAGTGGCGCGGGCGCAGATGCTGCTCCCGCCGTCGGCCCACGACGACTTTGCCTTGTTCCTCACCCACTTTAACACGTTTAGTAAAATCGACGTGGCGGCGGAAAAGCTCTTTAGCCAGTTCCAGCTGATCGTGATTGATGATGATGGCGACAGTGAAAGCAACGGCAAGGGAGCCAGCCAGCGCAGCAGCGGTGGCGACACCAAGTCGCTGGGGAAGGGGAAGCGGAAACGCAAAAAGTAACGACCTTGATGATAAACAACTTAATACACGATTTTCAAAGGAAAGGCAAAACATGTAGAGCAATTATGATGGCAGACACCAATAGGTGAAGCCTTGCAATCAAGTGGTTCCGTTGCAGTTTAGTGCTAGACAACTGAAATCCTGAAAAAATTCTCTACTTGGTTAGATGGTCTAATGAATAAAAGGTGAGTGGATTGTGTCGATCAGATCATCTCAAAAACTTACATAATCCTTCAAGTTCATTATGTCAGTTTCTGTATACAACATATCGCTATACTCATATATTTTTGATATATAGTAAAGTACAAGTAATGAGTCAAGAGTGTATTAATTATGAACCGGAGCTCTATAACATTCCACAAATGAACAGACCGTAAAACCGTTGAAAATAAGCCCAAAAGTTAAATGGTAGGTTGAGGATATCCATGCAAAAAAGGTAAACAAAAAAAAAGGGTATGGTAGTTCGTTACGAGTCATCACCGTCGCGGGACTCGGAGTCGCGGCGACGGCGCCACTGGCGCGGCGGGAGCGGCGGCGGCAGCTGGCCATTGTCCTCGGTGGTCTCGACACCCTGCGGCGTCCGTCTCAGCGACACCCCTTGCGGGAAGAGCGCCAGCGGCGGAGGGCCAAAGGGGAGCACCAGGATGATCGACGGCGCCCGCGTCGAGGCGGGACGGGTAGATGACGATGAGGATGAAGATGAGCCGGCGTCCGCCGAGCGCGGAGGCGGCGGCGGCGGCGGCGACGATTCAGGCACGTCAAGCTCGCCGAGACGAAGCATGCGCCCTAGGAGGCCCCGTCCACGGCGAGTGCTGGTGGTGGCGCCGTCGCGACCACGAGGCAGCGGCGCCGCGTCCCCCAGACGGCCACCTGACAACGCCGTAAGAAAGTCGAGGCCGAACTCGCTAGCGGCGGCGCCGGCGCCGGGAGCGGCGGAGGTGGTGTCGTTTTGAGCATTAGCAGAAGTCAGATTCGGGGTATTGCGGGCGGGGAACTGGGGGAACTGGAACAACGTGAACCCCAGCGACCCCGAAGTAAACGGCAGCAGCCGCGGCTCCTCGAGCTTCTCCCGGCAGAGGGGGCAGGTGGCGTGGTCCTTGAGCCACTCCAGCAAGCAGCTGCGGCCAAACACGTGGTGGCAGGGGAGCTCAATAGCGACGTGAGCAAACTCTTCGCGGTGGTCGCAGAGGTACTTGGGCGGGCGCCCCGAGTCGCCAGTAGCGCTACCGCTGCTGTTGGCACCATCAGTGGTGTTGGCGCCGTCCCCCAGAGTGGTCAGGGCCCGCAGCGCCGCGCTCTCCGTCGCCGCCGGCGCTGTCGACAGCAACGAGTCGCGCGACGTCGTCTCGCTGGTGTTATCGTACAACCGCCGCTTCTTCACCGTGCGGTCGCCTTCGCTAGCAGTACCCGCGGCAGCAGCGTCGTCAGTGGCCTCGGGCTCGCGGGCGCCGAGCTCCATGTCCTCAAAGCAGATGTAGCACTTGCGGTTGTCGTCGTCAAGGTGAGTGACAAACGGGAACAGGGCGAACTTGTCAAAGGTGATGCCGCGCCCGGGGAACAAGTGGTTGCCCGAGCCGTCAAAGATGCTCAGGTACGCCATCTGCGTCGCCAACCGCACGAATTCCTGGATCGCCAGCGGCTCGCGGTTCAGCAGGTTGTTGGGGAGCAGCATCACCAACAGGCCCAGCCGGTTCGGGGTGTCCGGGTTGTTTTGGTCGGAGAACACGTAATTGACGGTTATGACAATCGCCTGATCGTCGTCAGGGGCGGGCGCCGGCAGCGCTGGGCGCGGCGTGTCGGCACTTCCAGCGCCGGGACCAGCTCCGACGCCGGCACCGGTGCCCAAAATATCGTTAATGGGGTTGTACGAACGAGCCATGGCCATGAGATGGTCAAAGAACGACGAGGCGCCATCAGTGGTCAGAGCACCGTCGGCAGCCAGGGTGCTGCGGTCCACGTCGGGCGCCGTCGTGGCGTCAGTGGTGGTGTCGGCGCTGGCGGCGTCGCTAGCGGCGCTGGCGGGCGGGTCGTCGGCGCTGAACGCCAGGGTCGCCGTCTCGGCGGCGGTGGATGCGAGGGAGGCGGAGTCGATGGTGGTGTCGCCGGAGACGTTGCCGATGGTGTCGCTGGTGGCGGCGTCGTCGACTGACTCAAGGACAACGTGGTGGCGGCGCGGCGCTGGCGGCGATGACGATGACGATGAAGATGCTGGTGGCGCCGGCGCCGGCGGCGCTTCATTTGCGCCACTAGCGCCATTAGCGCCAGTGGTGGCACTAGCACTAGTATCAGTGGTCGCCGGCGGTCGGTCGTCGCTGGGGGCGGGGGGGTCCCGTCGGTTCATTCTTTTGATCGCAGAAAGGCCTCTTTTCAATCGGGAGATCACGCTCAAAACGAAGTTAGCGGGTAAACACGGGGCGGCGCTCTAAGCTGGTTTTGCGGTGGTGAGACGGTAACCAGTAGTGGCTCGTCTCTGGTGCTCTCTTAAAGAGCGAAAAAGTAGGGGTATCAGACGGATAGGGTCGCTCCTCAGATAGGAATAACGGGAGAGAGCCTGGGTAGTTTTGGGGAGGATATAAACAGCCTGTCTACTGAGACTGTCACGGGTGTAGCAACAACTGAAACACGTCGCAGTAGTGAAACACGTAGCAAGCAATTAGAAAAAGCAGACGGGTGCCAAGTAGACAATAAAAAGAACAGGAAACGGTACCGTGGCGCCGGTGTTCTTTGACGGTTAAGAAAAAGGTGGCGATAGGGTTAGTGGGATCGGAGAGCGGTGAGCGGGCGCGGGAAGGCAGGCCCTTGACTGTGTGCAGGCCACAATCTGTCGATTACGTCAAAGGCAGCCTGAGGGGATGACAAACTCATTCCGCGTCGAGCGGAACCCAATGGAACCAAATCCGGTCACGAAGGCGGGAGTTACCGTGACCGGCTTAGTAAGTAGAATAGGCCTAGGGGAACGTGAGAAAAAGGTGATAGAATGGTTTAGGTTTGGTGTGGTGGGAGTGTCTGACAGGGCTTAGTTTTTTGTTATGTGGTTTGTCGATAGTGGTTATCTGCGGGCCGCCCATGGGGTAAGCGGTTAGTTAAGCGGAGCGTCGTGTGCTGACAAATCGTCAACTGGAAAGCCACAAACGGGCCCCTCCCGGCACTTCCTGGCAACGCCTGGTAGAGGCTTTTGTATAGGCCAATTTGGCGGTGGCGCCAGGTTTACCCGGAGTCACCGACAGTGCTTTGGCAATAGAGTCTGGTGCAAGGCTAACTTCAATCGTGCGAGGTACTGGTTACCAATTTGAGGCTTATAAATCTTGATTATTTGATAATTGAACGGTGAATTATTTAATGTCCTGATCATTTCTTCATTTGCACGAAATTTAGTCTCATTCAATCTTACCATTTACGATGGATCAATAGCACAAATCAGAGTGCCATTGAAATTCGTTACTGAGCTAGAAAACAAAAACAAACAAAAGCCTATAAAATTATATGAGAAATATCAAAACAAATCGTTTAGTTCTAGCATCATACAAAACTCCTTACTGTAGCCTATTCACGGTACACTTGTTTCGTTCTGTTGCGGCCATCGTGGCTAATTTTTGCGAGTGCGAGGCGGTCGACACTCGCTGTCACTAACAACACACACTTCGTCTTATTTCCCCTTCCCCACACATCCAATTGAGACGACATGGGAAAAGCGGTGTCGAAGTTGTCGAAGGACGACCTCAAGTGGTTGCGGCTGGCCACGTACTTCGACAAGCGCGAGCTCCAGCAGTGGTACAAGGGGTTCCTCCGCGACTGTCCCCTGGGCCAGCTTTCTGAGGAGGAGTTTGCCAAGGTGTTCAAGCAGTTTTTCCCCTTCGGCGACCCCACCGACTACTGCCACTACTTGTTCAAAGCGTTTGACGCCGACGACTCCAAGTATGTTGATTTCAAGGAGTTTATCGTTGCCCTTTCAATCACGCTGCGAGGCACGCCGGACCAGAAGCTCAACTGGACGTTTAAGGTGTACGACCACCAGAAAACAGGGAAAGTGACTTACCAGGACGTGCTTCGCGTGGTACAGGCGGTGTACAAGATGGTGGGGCCGATGGTGGAGCTTCCTGACGACGAGGCCACTCCGGAAGCGCGGTCGGAAAAGTTCTTCGTGCTCTTGGGGAAAAACCCGGAGACCGACACCATCGACTTGGACGACTTCAAGCGGTTGGCGAAGATCGACTCGCTGGTGATCAGCGTGTTGAACTCCTACGAGGCGTGGGTGTGAAAATTCCTCCCGAGGTCATGGCAGTGCCGATGACGTAACGACTAACGAAGACTAGTAATCAAGCTACTAAGTAATTAAAGATCAAGTAATAAATTCATTCGAAACTAAGTGATAGAGCTAGACTGAGTCAAACCCGTTTGAGACTACACTAAGTGCAACCCATTCGAGACTGAGTTAATAGCATTGGAGACCAAGTAATTAAGCCAGACTAAGTATTGATACCGTTCATGACTAAGTGATATTCATTGGAGAGTGATTAAAATCCAATCGAGACTAAGTGTTCATTCGACACTAGCTGATATAGCCAGATATATAGTAAGCTAGACTCAGAAGCTGAGCCATACTTAGTATCAGAGCCATTTTAAGTGGTAATTTTAGACTAAGTATCAATACCATCCATGACTGAGTAAAATTCATTTTGGATTTATTAGTAGAGCCAGACAAAATGATGATGTCATACTAGTAGTAAAGCCAGACTGAGTAAAATATCTATTCTAAGTGATAAATCCGGAATAGTGATAAATCTAGACTAAATATTGAGCCCATAATAATCCATTCGAGACTAGTAATACATCTAGAACAAGTATTAGAGCCCATACGAATCAATTCGAGGCTAAGTAAATCTATTCTATAACCTATCTGTAATATCAGTTAATTACTCAGCACCGAGCTTTTTGGCACGGTCGTAGGCGATGTCACACATGGCGTCGAACGCTTCGCGGCGTTCGGCGTCGACGTCGTTACGCTTAATGCGCCGCTCCATCTCGTCCATGATCACCGGCCGCGGGCGCCCGTTGACGAAGCACACGAAGCGGAGCCCTGGAAATGTCGCCTCGTAGCGGTCGTTGAGGTCGATGAGCTTCTGCGTCTCCTCGGCCAGCCCCGCCAACAGCTTCTGCTCGGCGCTCGAGTGCTCGCTCAACTGCGTCGTCTTCACCTTCAGCAGCCCCCCTAACCTGGGGTGGGCGCCGATGATCTCCGCCACTCTAGGGTCGTAAGCTTCGCCTCTGGCGGCAGCGGCGTCGGCGTCTTCCAACACCAGCACTAATACGCCGCGGCAGGCCTCGATCAACTGACGATACAGCCCGTGCGGCTGGCGGAGCACGGTGTCGATAAGCAAGTTCAGCAACGTCGCCTCGCGCTCAAACAAGTTGGCGAGGAGCTCGGTCTGGTCGTCGCGCGATAACTGGGGGACCTGGTCGATGGGGGGAAGGGTATACGGCATGATTGGGGAGCAGTCGAGGGGGTTAAACGGAGATGTTCTCCACGTTTAATAGTGGGGGTCTCGCGCTCTCGCGTTTTTCCGAGATCGCGTTCGCTAGCCTGTGTGCAGAACATGATCACCGCCACTACCAGCGGTAGCGAAATATCCCGACCGTAAACCTCATCGGATGCGGGAACCACCGTTTTCAATCAAACGGTTGAATGTGTTGGGCCACGCGCCGACATTGGATAAAACCCTCAAAAAGAGCTCGGTGATTTTGGGACTTTGCGTGTGGTAGGGGGTGAGTTTCGGAAATTCCCGAACACCGTTCTATCGGATCAAAAAAAAAAAAAAACTTTGTTTGGACGGGAGACCGTCGTCTTAACATAGATCGCGCTTTGTCTTCTTCGCTTCATTTTTCCTGATGGCGGTCATTAAGCGCCGTCGCCGACCACATGAAATATCTAAAGAATTAGTCAGAGAGGTTGGCTATATGTGTGACTCCGGACCAAATTAGTCGACACTCTGAAAGCGAAAATATCTGCGCATGGATTATGCATGCACCCTAACGCCGCCATTCCTCTCCCGACATTCCTAATTCTTACCTAACGTCCCAGGGCTCATACCGCGAAAGCGATTGTTGCGAACTTCTTTCTGCCATTAAGCAGGAGGGCCAAAATGTTACATTCCATTATGCGGGGTCCGCTATTGACTGAACGGTAAATAACTCCGGCAGTAAACCCGGTACCCCACCCTAACCTCGTCGACAAATCAGCCCTCCCTTCCACTTCTTGTACTATTTTCCGTAGTAGCGTCTGCCACCGTACCATATATTTTTGTCATCGACAAGGATTGTCACTCCATGGCTTACGCAATGGTGCTTTTGGGTCTCGGAATTGCGAAAACGGATAAACTTCTCCATGCGATACCCCTCTCTTTTGTTGACGCGTTCCCCGCTTGCTCTATTTTTTTACTCGGATGAGTTTTTCCCTGCTTGGCTTTACCAACCACTTTTGTGTCTCTTCCGGTCGATTACCCGGTACGGAGTAAATGAGCAGGACTGAGTCTCACTCGGGACGTTTGCTGCGGATCAAGCAAGTTGTGCTATTTATCTTCCTGGTGACGACAATCTCTGCAACAGCGGGAAAGTCTAATCTCAAAAGCAACCGACAGCTACAGGCTTCGGCATTTGACGGTGCATGTGTCAAATTTGTTATAAAACCGTTGCGTACCACGCCCTATTCTCACATTCAGATGAGGAGGGCTTATGACACTTTCGCTTTGTAACCGGTTGTTGCTTAATGACACAAAACTCACTGGTGAAAAAATCATATTGCTTTTTGTGTCACAGTGATAGGATTTCGGCTACTCAGCCGGACGGATATCTGCTTTAAAATGAAAAATGACAACGAGGAAGACAACTTCTAAGGAAGACGATGTTGATTCAACAAGTTGTTCTTTTTATTGAAGCATACAACGAATCCAACGAAGGTTGATTAATCGTTGGGCATATTTTCAGGCATCAATATGTTTACAATTGTTACTTGGTTGAAAACGCAGAAACAAGAATCCAAAGAGATGCTGATCAGTTTTTGGATAAAACTGATTGAAATAAATCTACTGAAGCTTTCACGAGTATCAGGATTGATCACAACTGGTTTGATTCGAATTGTTGAATGAATTTTCTGCATTGAGTATCTGTGAGTGTCATTGTGAACTTGCTTCATGATGTCCAAAACCTGCTTTGACGGTTGGTGATTCAATTTACTTGAAGTTCATAAGAAGTATAACATGTTTGGCTTCGGTCATTCTTAAGGGCTTAGTTTTCGAATGATCTACTTGCAAGTTTTGTATAATTGAATATTAAATTAATTGATTGAGAGTGAGTAAATAAATCAATACTGACTCAATTAAACTAAAACACTGTATAGAGATAATTCAACCTGGCATCATTTAAAACGTTCCATAAAGCTTCACAATCGAGCTTTGTCTTCGTAGAATTCAAGAATTGCAACAAGTTTTCTAGTGTCGTAAAGGAATCAATCAATAAAAAAGTTTACACAATTTCAGTGAAGGAGACATCACTTGAATCAAATTAATCAGTCGTTAAAAAAATGGGTAGTGACCAATTCGATGAACCATCAACTTTGATTGACAGGCACTTACTGCAGGTTCTAATGAATGCAACCACAAACCGGTGTAGACACCGAAGATCCACAAACCTGACGGGAGTCTATTGTAACGAACGATGTTGCAAAAGTATCAGAAGCGTCGGATAAACTGATTTTGTGGTTTATTGTAGGCATGGAAGCACACACACCTTTTCCACATTATCATAGATTTACGTCAAAGTTTTGCATCATCAATCACGTAGCCTTTTCAATCAATGCTTGAACCTTAGAGGTGTCAGTCAAACGATCAGCTTACCATCTTTCCAACCCCTGTGTCTAGCATGCAAACAATCAGATACTGGTCAAATTGATATCATCTCCAGTATAATTACCTTACCACAAGAAAGTGTATGGGAATGATGTGCTCGTGAAGAGCTTGATCACGCTGTCAAGTCGTTGTAGTTTCAATTATCGATGATTCCAAAACAAATTCAACGCTGTGGGGTTCAGTTTGGAAAAGTTCTCTCCCGATTGTTTCCCGCCTACGATCGGCCGATCACCGATTGGTAATTTATTACTTTACCTCGGCCAATGCGGCGCGGCAGTCTTACTTCCGAGGCACGCAGTCAATCTCCCAACCCTCACGGAAATATTATTTGCGACGTAGATGAAATAGCCAGAACAGGCCACAAACTTTAAATGCTCATGGTCCCCGATAAGCCGAAAAACGTATAAAATATCCACGGTAGCGATTGAATACCAGGATCAATGGCAGTCGTAATAATGCTACTTGCCGGCGGTAACCGGATATAGGCAGCAGGCACCAGCGACCTCACGGTAGTTCAGCCAGCGATCACGCCAAATATTATCAATATGATCTCTGTCTCGTGGTCTAACCCCGGACACAATGAGCTTAGACTGATGTCGCAATTATAAATAAGCTTTATTACATAGCTACGCGCGTCGGGCCCCAAGGACTGTCGGCGGGTAGTGCCACTTACGGATATTATCAGTTGCCGTGAGAAACAATGTGAACAGACTGCCGGAGTTTCTGTGTTGCTTTATCGCTGGCGAGTCATCGCTGCCGTAACCGGCGACTGAGGTACGTAGTCCCGTTGATGTGTGGGTGGATGTGCCTAACGCCGAGCAGCAGTACTTGCTATGAGCCTCTGGAAATGTCTATAAAGTAATTATTGTAGGAAAGAAAAAAAAACGACGTTTCGGTTCAATAGATGCCGACGGTCCAATAGATGCTGACGGTCCAGACTACCTCCTCCGATGGAGATTTTCAGCTGCTGCTGACAAATGTTCGTTGATAGCCGATGGTGCTTAGCCTTTACTTCCGCTTTCTTTACTTGCCGGAAGTACAAAGAAGGACCAACCCTCAGAGAATTAGCGCACCGTGGTTTCATGTGGCACAAAACCTTTGGCGGGACTTGACGTCTACCTAACCGATAAATTGCCAGTGTCGCTAAGTGTACCTTTTTATTTTGCAGCCAATACGACGATTTGCTGTTTCCGCTGTTTATAGCTTCATCACTAGACATGGACCTACAACCACTGATGAGCTGAATCCGCGGTAGCTGAGTGCTGTCTCGGAGTTAACGTGAACGCATGGTTAAGCGCAGCTGAGATTGTGGTTTTGCCTGGCATTTGCGTTTTGTACTACTAGGCGCCAGCCGCCACTAAGAAGCACACTTTAGCACCACCAATCAAAGGCTTTAACGGACGTGGCAGCCTCAAGGAGGCTAATGGTGCAAGCATAATATAGCCAACAGTTGCTGCTGGGTGGCCGTTTGACGCAGAGAATATTCGGTGAGGGGGCTTGGGCAGGATGTCGGGGTGTACGTGCATCCGACACCTGTTCCAACGCTTAAGTGCCCTGTCTCTGAAAACGCCCTCGTCCACTGGTAGCCGTGAAGTGCAAAAAATTCCGAGATATGCCTGGAGGTAGGGTGAGGAATGCTTGGCAGGTTTGAGCTCAGAGCAATCTATTAATAAAGCGCTCTCAAGCGATCGTCGACGAAGAAGTAGCCAGTAAGCGATTGTTGTTCGGTGGTCGTAGCGGCGTCATTTGGCTTCGGCAACGACCTAGACCTTAAGAGTATTGTTATGATTTCATGGTGATAGAGAGGTAGCCGATTTTTGCAATTAACGTCGCCGTCACTAAAACCGCCAGAGTTCCCAAAGCATCGCTGGTAATCATATAGCAGTGAATCGCGCTCTACTTTCAATGCATTTATCAGAAATCACTTCGTTATGATTTTTTGAAACTAGTGATGAAACAAAACAAACACCAATCTCTCGCCACCAATAAATAATCAACAGAAAATTACTCCACTCAATCTGAGCATCGACCACCAAGTATCCCTAAACTATACGACTACTCTAAAAATCTCTATTACTAACTCTAGGAGAAAAACAATCTATGATGGCTCTGGCTTTGTCCACCCCATGGCATCCCTCAAGAGCAACACCCGGTCCTCATAAAACTCGACAAACCCCGCCACCGTCAACTCATTATCGTGGAAGTGGAGCTGGCTGTCGTCGTACCGATAGTCGCTCAAAAGCATCATTGTGCCATAATCGAACTGCACGTTCAGCTGGAACAAGTTGAGCCGCTCAATGTTGCGAGAGTACACCTGATTGTCCATGGTCTCGTCGGTACGAGTCAAAAACGAGTCGTGCTCGGTGACAGGAGTGTGTTTCTCCTTGGTGGGGTAATGCTCGGGCCGGATCAACGTGTTGTTGAACAGCGATATCGGCACCTCGTGGGCGTTGGTGATTGCCCTCAGCTTAAACCGGTGATGGCGGAGCAGCTCGGGGAACGGCTGGGTCCACTGGATGTACTGGTGGTACAACAAGTAGCGGTGCTTGAAAAAGGTATATAGCCGCATGGCGTAATAATTATGCTTCTGGAGCGAAGCCGCCGTCCGCGGACCCGCGAGGGCGTGGAACGGGGTGTCTCGAGGGGTCATGGCGGCTTTATTGCGGAAAAAGTCGTGGGACGGCGCCATGAATTGCGTGGTGCAAAGATACTTTGTACAGGGGAATATCGCCTCAAGCGCCACCAGCGTCGCCTGGTAGTACATGTAAAGTGTCGCCTTGAGGTCGCATATGAACTGGCGCTCGTCGGTATCCTGGACAATGCGTTTGGGGTTGAATGCCAACGCGCCCGTGGGCACCTTGCGGTGCCAGCTTTTCAATAACCGCCAGATGTCCGGAAACGGGTACACGGTCATGGTGTCCTTGTCCTGCGCCAGCTTCGTCACCACCGTGGCTAGATCGCGAAGGTAGTCGAGCAACTGCGAGTACTCGTACTGGAGCTCGGTGTACTCGGCCAGACACTGCGAGAATCGAGCTAAGGGGATCAGAAACATCGGCTCAAGGCGCACAAAGTTATCGACGAGCTCCGACACAAATTGCGGCGGATAAGGAGGCACCCTCAGCCCGCTGATGTTGTGGCCGATCTGGTGCACCGAGTAGCCGGCGATCAGCCGGTCCTCGCCCTCCTGGCGCAAGTTGGTGCCGAACACCTCGGCGAACTTGCCTACTTCCTTGATCATCACCGCCCACTTCTCACTGACTTCATAGTACTCCTCAAACAGGAGGTCGGCGGCAAGCACCACGAGGAGAAACGAGAACCCCAACGCCATCATCGTCTGCCGCAAGTACTTGATGTCGGCGAACTCGTGCCACGTCAGCACCAACAACTGGATGTGGGTGGTGAACTGGCGGCGGATCTGCTGCCCGAGCTTCCGTGCTCGTACCCCTAGCGCCAGGCTCAACGCGACGTAGTCGATGTTGGCGCTGAACTGCGGGTGGTACACCAGCTTCTTCCGCAACGTATTCAGCACCGCCAGCGCCCCGATATAGAGGAGACACCCCCAAGCTAACTCACCTCCGACCGGCTGCTGGTTCAGCTCGAGCATAGCGCTGATGTGCTCCAAAAGCGAGAACTTGCCGATGCGGAAATGCGAGCACCCTATCAGACATGGGCCGCGGCCGATCAGCTTGCCGCGGTGGTGTTCGTGGCTATGGCTGTGGAAGGAGTGGTCTCGCGGTTTGCGCTTGGTCTTGGGGAATCGGCACGGTTGGTAGTAGCCGCCGGGGAGAATGTTGCGGAGCTGCACCAGCAGCGCTGGCGGCGGGATCTGGCCCGGAGCAGCATTAAATTGCGGGGCGAGAGGCGGCAGTGGTCGGGGGAACTCGCGGGCGATGACGCGGGTCAGGTTCATTGCGAGCTTCGCTACTTTTTGTACCGGTAGTCCCGGCGGTATCGGCGTCGGCACGAACGCAAGGCCCGGTACCGGCAACGTGCGCGGCGCCGGGCGCGGGTACAGTGGCGCCATTGGCGGCGGCGCCGTTGCTCCCAGTGGTGGCAAGGGTGTTACCGGCACCGGGAGCAGTGGCGCTACTGGAGCTAGCAGCAATGGCGTGAGCGGCGCCACCAGCGGTGCGACCATCGCCGGCGCTACTGCCGGCGCCGTCAGCGCTGCCGACAGCAGTGCCAGATCCCACTCAAAGTCGGTCTCGCCGACAGCGACGAAACGGAGCTCGCCGTAGCGCCATTGTGGGAGCGGGGGGAGGTCAGTGCCTTCGTGGACAAATTCGAGGGCGGCGCCGGCGCTATTGGCGCTGAGGCCGTGGTGATCAACAGCGGCACCATTCCAGACGCCAGCGCCCAAAGCTGCCTCTAGCAGTGCCCCTGAAAGCACTCCCTGGCCGGCTACCACCGCTGACGCCAGCGCCAGCGCCGGGAGCCGGTATTCGAGCTCGAGAAGCTTGTTTTGTGAGTTACGGAGCGAGTGGGTGAGCCGAATGCGCTGGATCTCCGCCTGGGAGAGCAGCAAGTACAGGCACACCTCGCGCTTGCCCCGGGCACATTTGCCACACTGGGGGAGCTGTTCGTCGCAGCGGATCTTTTTGCGCTTGCAATTGGCACAGCCAAGCTTGGAGTTGGTATGTCGGCGCCGTGTCAGTGCCGGCGGCGGCGGCGACGGTGCCAGCGATAGCAGGGCCCCAGTGGTGGTGGTGGACGCGGCGACGGCGGCGGTGGCTGTCAACGACAGTGTTGATGACGATGACGACGATGACGCCGACGCCGGCGCCAGCGACTTGGGTGAGCGCTGCCGGCGCCGATGACCGCTTAGAGGGCGCGCTAGCGGCGCCGAGGGCGCCAGGGGTCGCGGCGACGACTGCGATGGCGCTTTCACTGGGCGAGCCATGGCGACACGCCTTCGTGACCCTCGGGGTGTATATAGTCCAGATTAGTGCCCGAGGTGGTGCCAGCGCCCATCAGAAAAAATGTGCGCCGGTCAAATAATACTCAGTGGCCGCTGGTGGATATTTTATGGCGCCGGCGATATTATGTTGGCAGGGCGCATCGACAGATATTTTCTATTACCTGTACCGCGGCGCCGAACTTAAAGAGGTGACCTGCGGGTCGTATCTACCCCTCAACCGGGCCACCACCCCCCTCCTCCAAACACCGATAGCCGGGGGACTCCAAGCATCAGACACTTCGGCAATCACCCGCCACTGCCACCACGGCACTCACACTATTTTTCCGAACAATTTTCCGGGGAAGAAATGCCCCAAAATCCTCCCAGTAGTTACGCTTAGGCTTTGGGTTAGCTTTGCCCGATTAAACTGCACCCGCCCTCCTCAACGCGTTCGTATACAGAGCGTTGTCGAGTACGAGTCAAAAAATCTTAGCGTCGACTCCTTGAGGGAGGGGGAGGAACAAGCGGTTGTCAGCGGCACCGGGCCGAAGACGGCGGCACTCGCCTGGGGCTTATCGCGTGGAGCTGCTGCATGCCCGCAGTTTACCGCTTGCGGGCAGGTGTCGGTACATGACGCCCCCTGTAAGGATCAGGCAACTTCTACAGCTGACCCCACTGGGGAAGCCCCAGGGCCCGGCAGGCGAGATATACTTGCTCGTGGCTAGTGGAGACCAGCCGCGGACCTTAATTACCATTGCTACTGTAAATCAGGCTGTATACCACCGAAGCATGCGCCTAGATCAAGCGTTGGCATTGCGCGCGACATCCGGGGTGGGTGGTGTACCGCCTTGCGATCGACGATAAGTTTGCGGGCGAGACTTGTCGTAGCGGGAGAGGTTCGTATTCAAGCTTTATCGCGAGCTTCTCTCAGAGGGGTTCGTATCTAGAGTTATCTCGCAGCGCTGGTGGCGATGGTGGGCACCAATTTCTTAGTTCACCCTGAGACACCGCAGAAGCAATTACGCCTCGTGCTTTTGCCTATTTGCGACCCTAGACCCTTCTACCACCACCTGCCAAGACTCACTACCACTGCCCGAACCATCACTCTCTTTTAACTTACGACCGACACCTTGCCAAGCACAATAGCCACACACCTGTGTCCCGTCACCCCGTTGGAGAAATTGCTTTTGTTAAAATCCTCAGACCAGTATTCCTCACTGACTGTTTCACTAATTGTTCTACCACCACCACCCATGTCGTCGACACCGTACCCGCTTGCGCCACTCGACGTGCCCCTGAGACCGTCGCTGGTGGTGCTGGCAGTGCTGACGGTGCTGTGCACCTCGACCACCGCCACCAAGGACGGCGTCGAGGGCCGCCCCGTGCGCCACCGCCACTACCCCCCGCGCCCCTTGACCACCGCCACTACCGCCGCCAATGCCACGACCACCGCTGTTGCTACGCCATTGGGAGACCGCCTCTGGCTCTTGGATAAGTGACGAGGCGCTTTGGTGGAACGCTTTGTAAACGAATGAACGCCCGCTATGACCTTATAATGAATAACGTACTACCAGCAATCCACTAGTGTCACTGACATCTTATCATTTTACTTTCTCTTTGCTCCCTCTCCCCCCCGTCAGATTTGTCCTCAACTGTGATCATCACCTTGACTGTTCACTATAGAATAATTTTCAGCTCAATTGACGGTGGATGTCTCTGCCCAAACCCAAAACTCTATTGACGCTAATTCGGCGTCTCTCCACGTACCTCTACACCTCCCACTATAGCGAAGGGATAGTGCACCCTCCTCACCTACCAGCACCTACCAGCCTTTGCTGGGCTACCAACCACCACTGGAGCAACCTAATTGGTACCATTCCCGAGGCTACCGATACAGGTCTGTTGAGTTTAAATAGCCCCCTCTTACTCTCTCCTTGTTTCCCCAGCCTCTCATCGCATATCACGTGACCTCTCCGAGATCGCCGATCCACACCGCACTTCCGCTCCATCCCCGGTGCTTAACTCTGCTCACGAATTCCCTAAAATGCTTGCCATTGCCAGAGTCGCCAGAGCTGCTAGAGCCGCCAGAGTTGCCTCGCGCCGGCTTCCTACCACCACCCCAGCGGTAGTGGCGGGACCCGCCCTCCGCCAGCTCTCGTCGTCGCGGCGCCATTTGAACGCTACCCCTGCTGAAGAAACCCCGCTGACGCTGAAGTTCTTTGAATACACTTGGGGCACGTGGTTGCACAACGACAAGTTGGAAAAAGCCCGTCGTCAGACCAAGTTCGACGTCGACAGCTTGACCCACCAATTGCACACCTACAAGCCCCAAGCAGGGCTCCTCCCGCCGACGAAGCAGCTGGGTATCAGCTGGCTTGACCACAACGTCGCCGCCCTCCTCGGTGAGCACGGACGCCAGGCGAAGCAGATCTCGCTGATCCACGAGGGGAAGCACCACCACGTGTACAAGATTGACTTTGACGGCACCGACACCCTGTTGGTGTTGCGGGTGCCGTACAAGTTGGAGCTGGACGCCGCTATCGCCCGCAAGATCAAGCTGGAGGCGGCGGTGTTGGATTTTTTGCACACTAAAGCCCAGCTCAACGTCCCCCGCCTTGTCGCCTACGCCCCCGACGCCCAGAACCCGGTGGGGTCGCCGTTCACGTTGATGGAGTACGTGTCGGGTGATCTTTTGATGAAGCAATGGAACCCGTTGGCCGAGGCCAGCGACAACGTCAACGATGACTTGAAGCGGGTCATCGACCCCATCCTGGACTTCCAGGCCCAGGTGAACAAGTACACCTTCACCAAGTACGGGTCGCTCTACTTTGCCGACGACGTCGACCCCGAACACGCCACCGACGAACCCGCCTATACCGGCGAGACCGACGACAACTTGGTCAACCGGTGGAAGATCGGGCCGTCGATCGAACAGCTGTACGCCAAGAACAAGCGGTTGTTGCCCGCGGAAACCATCAAGCAGTTTGCTGGCCCTTGGCCCCGCGACAGCCCCGACGCCATCATCAGTGACCTCGCCCAGCTTGAGCTTGAAAACGCCCGCCAGCGGCTTGCTCGCGTCGCCGCCAACGCTGGCGGTGATGCTAACAAGGACTTGCTCCGCGAACAGATCAAGACTTTCGAGAACTTCGCTAAGGTCGCCCCTAAGTTGATCAACCCCCACTCACCGCTGATCATGCACGTCGACGAGCAGTTCCAGCCGCGGTTGTACTTGCCCGACTTGGACCCGCTCAACGTTATTGACGGTCCCAATGGTTTAGTGTTCATCGACTTTGAGTACGCGGTGATCAAGCCGTTCTTGTACCAGCAGTACCCCCAGTTCATCACCTACGACGGCGACAAGATCTACGACCTTGAGAACGAAATCCCCGAGTGGGACCAGTTGGACGAGCTCGACCAGGGCCACTTTAAGTTCATGCACTACAAGACGCGTAATCAGCACTTGTGGGAACACGCCCTCAACGACCGCCTGCACGACCTCATCGCCATCGCCCTGCCCCACATCAAGAACTTGAAGGCCCCTTACGTCCACACCCTCAACATCAGCAACGACGAGGACCACTTGTACGTCGAGGACCTGATGATCGCGTTGGCGCCGCTGTGGCAGGCGTACACCGACGCCCAGTTGACCAACACCGAGGACCCGGACTACCCGATCAAATACGACGAAAAGTACGTCGAGGAGATGCAGTCGAAGTTGCGCGACTACCAGACGATCTTATCGCTGGAACCGTTCGCCGCCATTGGCGGGTGGGTGCCCCAGGACATGTTCGACAACTTGAAGGCACAAGGCTTCATCGAGCAAGACCACAACGGCAACTACTCGATCGCCAAGAACAAGGTGTTGCAAGAGGATGACGCCGACACCGAATAAACCCAACCCCTCTGATGTATATTAACAATAAACAGTTCGTCAAGTGTAATAAGCCATCAAAGGCCAATATGACCCTCACAGATGAGTTTCTAAAAATGAAACAATAGCGTTCAAGAACAAGGGTTTATTGTATTTGCAAGACTTCTTTGAAAGCTTGGTGTGAAGTAGATGAATTTAATTTGGACACGTCGCCACCCATGGTGGTTTCAAACATAACATCAGTGATCACAGTTTCAGTCGAGGTTTCAAGTTCCGTGTCTATAAATACCTGCTGATCGACCTGCTAAAGCTAATTGTTTGTTATTTGATTACCTGTATTTGATTGTAGATGCTGGGGATAATAAGGTAAGGTGCTGGTGCCGGACCACACACACTTCTACCGGTCTATAAATACTTGCGGCCGACCTGCTTCACCTTCATGTCGAACTCGGGCAGGGTTAGAGGTACGTTGACGACGTAGAACGGGCTCATGAGACACTTGACGTAGAGCTCGTTCACCTCGATGAAGAACTGGCGGATCAGCCCTTCGTCGCTCTTGTCGTACACCAACACCAACCGCACGTTGCCCTGGGTGATGTACGCCGCCACCAGGTACCCGGAAAACAGGTCGACTTTGCCCAAGTAGAACTGGGGCAGCGACCACTGGAGCTCCTCGACGAGGTCGAGCAGCGAGTTGGCGATGAAGGGAAGGAGCTCGCGCACGTTCTCGGGGAACTGGCCCACGCCCCCGGCCAGCTTGAAGCTGGCAAACTCAAGCTCGTAGAGCGGGGTGTCGTCGCTGCTGATGATACTGAAATAGTACATCGTGGGGGGGGGTTGCGAGGGACAGACAGGTGTGGTGGATGGTGGCCCGCGACCAAAAATAGTTTGTTGAGGATTTACCAAAAAATTTACCTGTGTACATTTTAGTACCATTTAGTATAATTGATCATTCAATACGTACCGTGGACAATATTGACTAAGCTCTACTACTCTGTTTATCCCGTTGTTGATTTTTGTTTTTCTGCCTCTGTCTCGTTTTCTTTTTTCTCCCTGCTCACTCTGTCTAAAAACTGGGAAACATAAACAATCCCAAATGACTATTTCGGCCACTTGCTTTGCACCGTGAGCATAAATGCCATGACCATGCAAACAGGCGAGTTAACAGTAGCTTTTAAGATAAATGTTTCACCATCTTACATCACCGTTTTTACCTTAGTAGATCAAACTGTAGGCTTATTAGCTACCCCCACCCAGTTTGTGGCACCATCATCTCTGATCCAGGGTCCCATCCATTGACGTCATAGCCGCCTCGATCCCATCTTTTTTGTCTACGGGATCGCGCGCTTAATAAAACTGGCGAGCGCGGCCACGAAAAAATCGTGCCAAAGATAAACAAGGACCCGGCATGTTTGCCACAGTCCAGTTTGACGACCAGGACCCGTGGAAGCCCAATTTCCTCGACACCCTGGACGTCGAGCGGGTCATGCACCTGTTGGCGCAAACGTACGTGGCTATCCCCAGCTACCGGCGCCAGGCTGAGGCGATAGACATGGTGGTCGAGTGCCACCACCTGCTGGTGGTGCTCCACTTGAGCGTGCGCTTGCTCTCCCAGTTCATGCACATCCACCCCGTCCACTCCGAACCGGTGCTTTCCCTCGTCGGGTGGCCGCTGGCGTCGCAGCTGGTGCCGCTCATGTTCACCCGCGGCCCCGCCCTCGGCGCCACGGACCCCCCGCGCCACTTGGTGTGTCCCCTCACCCTTAAATGCCTCCAGTTCGTCGTGCTGAGGCACCACATCCACATCGACGTCCTCCAGGACAACCACTACTACCTCATGGACCAGTGGCACCCCGAGTTGATCGCGCGCATCTGCCGCTACGCGGAAACGATCTTTTGGCACCACGCCCGCCACCTCGAAGGCCCGCCGGCAATTCCGGCGACAGTGCCGCTGCTGCCGCAAGCGGTGGACCCGGAGTTGTCGCTGGACGATACTTTGGGCGACGAGTCCGAGGTAGCGGCGAAAATCACGGCTCCCACTTCTTTTTCTCCCTCTGAAGTGACTCCCACCCTCCAATCGCAGGCTAGCTTCATCGGCAACGAAGAAAACCTCCGTCACAACGACTATGTCGTCATCGACGACCTCCAGGAGGTCGAGTGCACTTACGAACCCGACTCGCGGGCGTTGGCGTCGCCGCCACCATTAAGACAGGCGCTCCGCCCGTCAACCCGTCAAAACCGCCCGTGCTCGCCCGCTAAGCCCCCGCTGAGGCCCGCCACCCCACAATCGCAGCCGGTGACGCGGCAAACCCTGTTCCGCCTGCCCCGCCGGTTGCGACCCCTGCTGAGCGTGGTGGAGACGGGTTACTTCTTCGACGAGTTCGCCTCCTCTGAAAGTGTCCCGCGCTACATCAAGGACAATAAGCGCCTCAAGTTCATCAAGGTGGGCAAAGTGCAGAAGTACGTCAATCTTTTCGAGGAAAAGACCGACGAGGTGCTCCCCAGTCCCATGCGCCTGGGGCCGTCGTCGCCCCGCAAGCAAAGCGCCGCGTCGTCGCCCCTCCTCGCCCACCCCCGCTCNGCCCCCCCACGCTCGATGGACGCCTTCTAGTTGCCTCCCACCCCCCATTCCCCCGAATCCTCGTGCGTTAGTCACTGAGCGATCAGGCCTGTACGATTATACATACATCTCTTCTTTCCGCGGTTGACTCCTTACTCCTGCTTCATTATGCTAGCCGCAGTGAGCAAGTCCTCCACTTCAGCAAAGTGACCGGTTGATCATGGGCAGCACCCTGTCCCCCCCCCCCCC